CTTAGCCTTATTAAATTCAAGAGCCTTAACATATTTTATAGACAAATTCTTTGTCAAAAAATAAGATATATCTTTAATTAAGAAAATCAAACCTGTCCATATAGAAGAAATAGACAGTCATTTATTATCTTTTGAAGACGTTATACATAAAATTGATCCTTTAGTTGTAACAACTAGTGGTCATAATAGTTTAATAATATTTAATATAATTAGATTTCTTTTTAATTCAATTATTTTAGAATTATTGTGGCTAGAAAAATATAATCTTTAAATTAACTAGATTTCTTAAAATCTTGATTTTTTTCCATAATTTAGCCAAAGATTCTACAAGAAAAGTAAAAAGCTATAAGACCAATACATCCAAATTATTATTGATATGTACAAGAGCTTTCATGTATGCTACAAAAGAAGGGTCAAGATTTATTATATATGCCTTACCTATTGTTGATTAAGAAAAGATCTCAAGTAAAATTCCAAGTCAATACCAAGATTATAAAGCATCCTTTGAAGCCTTGAAGACATCATTTATTTTTTTACCATTTTTATATCGAGTCAATTTTTCTAAGGTATTCTTCATAAAAATAGATGCATCAAACTTTGCTATAAGTGTCATTTAGTCACAAATGAGAGTAGATGACAAACTCCATTCATTAGCTTTTTATTCCAAAAAAATTTAGTAGCCAAGATTAAGCTTAAGGTCTACAATAAAGAATTTTTTACAATTATAGATTCATTTTAAGAATGTTATTATTATCTAGAAGGTACCTTGAGTCCAAATACTATTTATATGGATTATAAGAACTTCAAGTATTTTGTATCGACATATATTTTGAATCATCACTAAACTTGTTGGAGCATATATTTAAATCAAGGTGCCTTCTAGATAATGCAAGTTATAACTCAAAGTAGAGATATAGAGATAATTAGAGCTTCTTCAACATCTACACCAAATCATGTTACTTTTTCTATGATAGAATATTATTCAAGCATTTAAAAACCTATTATTACATTATCTAAAAAATTTAATGGCATAAGATTTAAATTTTAAAGATTCATCAATCAAGTATAATTGGTGATTGAACTTCAACTTAAAGATATCCTCTAAAATCACAAGTCAGATTTATTAGAATACTACTTTCAAATTCTGCTATATTATGGTTTTTATCTTTTCTTGAACAATGTGATCTAATACTTGATAAATAGGAAGCTACAATAAATCCTAAGATTAAAAGCTTGAATCTAGATTATTTCAGCTTTCTAAGTAATTATGCTTGATAGTTCTTGGAATAAGAGTAGAAGAAATAAAGGTTGAATATATAGGAGTCTGTTCAAATGGATAAAGACCATAATGAATGACAACCTAGATAGTTGATGGATAAAATCAATGATGACCAAGAAAAACAAAGGATTTAATTAAAGTAGGAATTAAAATTAGAATATCTTTTAGGATTTTAGAAAGAAGAATAAGGATTTTTGGGCTTATTCTAGGATGAATTGTAAGCTAAAATAAACCTCCACTAGTTGGAAGTTTATTTTAGTTTGCAATAAGTGAATTAACTATATAAATGTTAAAAACCATAGCTATTAATTAAATTCTAATCAAATCACTCTTATTCTTTTTGATTAATCTAAGCAATGAAGCCAAGACTCAATCACCAACTCACACTTATACTTAATAAGTCACTTGAAAAATTACACAAAATAAAAAATCCCTTTTAATATGATTTTTATTTTATTATTTTATTATTTTGGTTTAATTCTTATTTAATTGAAATTCATCTATTGACAAAAATTTATCCTTGAATAATAATTCATCCAAGTATGAGAATTCGTCTAATTAATTTTCATCAAATTTAAAAATTTCCATTCAACTTCAATTGTTCATTCCACTAACCTAATTTAATCCTAACCCTAATTCATCCATTATGAACTGATCTTAATTTGAAATTTTACTCCAAGGCTATCACTTTGGATGATTTTGCAGAAAAGTGGACATATTGAGAATCCGCTGGATTCCACTTCAAAATGAGAGGCTGCTGGTCTTCATCCGCGACAATTCAACAAGATCCAATTCTTGGAAGCAAGTTTCAAAATCCCCCAACTCCTAACAACGCTTAAGAATGCTACTCCAGGCGTTTAAATCTCTGCTTCTAGTGGCATATTAGAAAACACCATGCACCTCGAGTACTTCTTCGTTCCTTCTTGACCATTCAAACATGAGGTTTTCCTTGCCAGAATAAACAACCCTCACAATTCCCTTTTTTTTGTTTAAAAAAAAACACGTGGATCCATAAGCATGGCAAGCAAGTGAACTCTGCTTTGATTTCTAAAACCTTTGGCCTTGAATATCTAGCAACAATCCGTCACGACTACGCCAAAAAAGCAGAAGGCAAAATAACAAAAAAAAAAAAAAAAAAAAAAAAAAAAAATCGACCATCATGGCTGCATTGACGAGCTCCGTAATGCACCTTCAGCCACCACGCCCTTGTAACAGAAGCACAAAACAACTCCAGCTGCCCTGCTTGGGCATGCCGAGTCGTTAACAGAATACAAACAAGAGTTGAATTGGAGGAATAAAAAAAAACAGGGCGAAGTGATGCTGCACTGCAGCACTCCAACTGAGCACAAAACAAAAAAGGAAGATGAAAAAATACTACACCACAGTACCGCCACCACATAAAAGAACGGAAATTTTTTTCGGAGCGCCCAAAGTTCGTGAAGACGTGAAGAAAAAATCCCAAGAAAAAAAAAAAAAAAAAAAAAAAAAAGTGAAGAATCCAGCCGCCAGACCCTTATTGACGAGGGGGCAACCTCTCGCCACTTTGATCATCTTTTAATCTAATTTTTTTCTTTTTCTTTTTCTTTTTCTTTTCTTCTATCTTGCTTTCCTTCTCTTCTCCTCTTTCTTTTTCTTCTTTTCTCCTTCTTTCTTTCTTCTATATTTTCTGATTTTTTCTTTCCTTCTCTACCTTTTTCTAATTTTATTTTTCTTTCCCTACTCTCTCCTACTAGTTGCTTACCTTCCTTCTCTTTCTTCTTCTTCTTTTTTATTTTTTATTTCTTTTTAATTCTTTTATAACTGACTGTATCCAGTTTCCATTTAGCTCCTAGCCCAATTAATCTTTTAATGACAAAATCTATCATAAAAGACCTCATAAATTTCTATTAGCTAAATTAAAGAGAAGATATGTAATTTAAAATCCTTTGTCAATACTACAAGAGATCCATTCTTGCAACTAACATCCTATTTTATTTTCTATTTTCTATTTATCTCAAAACTACTACACTAACTCACAAAATCTGTGATTTTAAGCACAATGAGTACATTTTTTGTACTGAATACTTAAGTGAGTCAATTCAGTGACTCACATGAGTGGAGGGAGGATTTTGACGAGGGGGAGGGGGATATATAACACACCATTCTTTTTGTACAATAACTAAACTTTTAATATGTGGATCGGGTGTTCCTGGTTTTTTAATAACTAGGAACAAGAGAGCAACATTGAGTGAAGATCAAGGGTTTGGGGGGGGGGGAGGGGAGGCACGGAGTCCGATATGGAAAGGCAGGTTATGGAAAGGAAGTTCGATAAAGTATAGGAGGGTACCTTTGAAAGAATTTTCTATGTAAATAATAATAATAATAACAAATAAAAACCATAACATAGAACCAATGTGATACTATCATTTTTTATAAGCCATAAATCCTACAAAAATCTCTATGAAAAATTTCAGGAAAACTTAAAAGGTTTTAAAATGTAAAAAAAAAAAAAACATGGAATGTTTTTTAGAATCTTTGCAAAAACACAAGGTCCAAAAAATAAAAAAATAAACAACACTAATTTGATTAAAAATAATAATCAATATTTTTTAGTAAATAATATTGATATGGTCTTATTAAACATATATTTAATGAAACAATTTGATGTTGTTGGCTGATGATATGGTCTTATTAAATACTCAACATCTTTTTATAATCATGTATTCCTGAATAAATTACAGACAACAAAGGTCCGTTTACTGTGTGATATCACAATCTGAACATTTTAGTTGATTTTACTTCCAAAATATACTAGTGAAAGAAACCAAAAAAGTAGGGGAAATAATAATAGTAACAAAAATTTATATGTGCAATAGGAATGACCTGGTTTACATTATTAAATTTTATTTTTGGCAATCAATTAAATAAAGGAATAATATGACAATTGGAAATGGAGAAGGTGATGGGACATAATAATTAAAGTCTATGCACATTTTTAATTAAATAAATATAAATATATATAAAAAATTACAAATTTACGGTATTGTATGCATCAAATAGCTCCTACAATTATAATTTTTTTCACTACATACAGAAAACTAAAATAAGTACATGTTTTAATTATAAAAAGGTAGGAGCATGTCTATTTTGAGTTGGACTGAAGTTTTTACTGTAAAAATTGTAATTTTATTCTTTCTCTTCTTCTGCTTTGTATTCATATATCTATTTGTGCACACGTCGTTCGGAAGTGATGCGCAGGCTGTACTGAAGTAGGGGGTGAAAGAAAACAGGAAGAGAACCCTAAAATGCCAAAAATGAATGGGAACGCGGAGCTCTCGAGAGCGCCAAGCCCTAATTTGAGACCAGGGGCGATAGCGGGGGCTATGAAAGCTGATTTCCCCTCACTGTCTCTATCACTCGTCCCATTCCGTCACGCTTCGGCGGATGCGCAGCTCTCTTACCCTCGCTAATTTTCTTCGTTCTGGTGTTTTCCAGTATTTCTGCCCCTCCCCCCTCTCTCTCTGCTTGGCTTAATGCGATGTGTAGCAGCTCACTGCGGCTACTGCCGACTAAAGCCACAGAGCTTCCACAATCTGTGAGGTCTTGTTTGAAGTGATTTAGGTTTATGGGTCGTATTTTCTGTTTCGATGAATTAGTTGTTGCTCTACGGTTGAGCAGGAAATGTCGAAGCCGCTTGCGCAGTAGCACTGGTTCTGAACAGTGGCTGATATTATTAGTTTGTGGTGGCCAATGATGATCACAAACTTACCTACATTGCCTGAATCATGTGATGTAATCTTATCTATAACCCTGAGGCCACCTTAGACACGGTAGTTTTATGCGACAATGGAACAAGAGTCGAAGGCAATGATGATCTAATCTTACCTATTTCACGATGGGCTCTATGCCTGAAATGAGTTGAGTTAATCTACTGAGTCTGTTTGTACACTTGTCGGATTCCCCATACACCTCGAAGGTCGAAATACATTGTTTTCTTAAATTTACGCCTTAAGTTCTAGGAAGATTGTACCCCGCTTCTCAATCTTGTCTAGTTATTTCTACTGATAGCTCTAATCTTGCATACAACCAACTCTCCACACCAAGAGTTCGTCAGTATGACTCTGAGCATACAGCCGTGCAAGACTACTTTCAGCACAACAGTGAAGAACGAACAGGTATGTGAAGGGAGTTTCACTGACTCTCTTGCAGCCTGGTACGTTTGAAATGCCTTCAGCATCGGGTTTCGGGGGTTTAAGGTTGCATATGCAGTTAGTAGGTCTAATTGCTGACTAGTCATTGATATGTGGTGGAGGAAGCGTCTTGGAGGGCGCCTTTCAAAAATGTCTTGCAGTATAGGGTACTGTGTACACGTGCCTATTTCACCATAACCAGATCAATATCTATCACAGTTTCAGAATTTTAGCAACATAATTGTTGAATACTTCACGCATCGAAAGCGAAATGCCGCTTTGGCTCCATTTTCGCACATTGAAGAACGGAAAAACTGCACTGAAATGAAACCCATCATTTTCACCAAAGGCAGTCACTGTACACGACAAATGCACTTCGCAACACAGTTCGCATACTCCCACTTCTCTATATCATTTCAGTTAGCAAATTTTTCAATTGTAAAATTATATTTGTGCATTCTCAACTGTAAAATTTACAAACTGACCATATGTATTTATTAGAATGTAAAATATATATTAAGTGCAAATAGCTTCCGTGAAGTACCTCTCTTCCAAATTTATTATTTATGCTATTAAACGCTTTTATTGACATAGTTAGACAATTCTCTACACTACTGCACAATTTTATAATCTTTTCTTCTACAAAATAATGTCTGATAAACATATTTTGTATGAAACCATATATTTTCAATAGCACCTGTTCCACACTTGGTATACATTAAACTATTGCTTATCAGCTGATTCCTTTCAAATTACGCCAACTTTTTAGCTGACATTACGCTCAACTTTTTAGCTTACATTCTTGATAAATTTAAGACAATAATACTAAAGATTGATAACAGTGCAGATATGTTCAAGTTCAAAAACAATATTCCAACATCTATCAATAACTCCTGTTCCCATTGCCATACCCATGTACACTATCAAAATTCTGAAGAGCCAGACCTGACTAACAACGGCAATATATCCTGATACTGGATTGCTAAATTATGGGTTCGAGTGCCGTTTTCAGAAACTACAGAAACCAGCTACAATTTATTCCGGCAAAGTACAGTAGTTACAAACATCACATTGCACCACTCCAAGTTCAGGATCACAGCGAGACAGAGACCTAGTCCTTGATGAAGTATTCAGCAAAAAGGATATTACCAAATACAAGGTACTCGTCAAAAGTGATGCAGGAAATCAAGTTGAAAAAACATCTCAAATCAGACCGCAAAATGAGTTGAGGCTCGGAAAACTTTACTAATCCAAGCTTGAGTAAAAAATTCGAGCACTCAAAAAATCGTGTTGTGGAACTATGATTACGAAAAAGCAATCTACGCAACCGTGGATGTAGCGCCACTGCGAAGACGTGCTTGCTTTTTCCTGTGAGCCTCTGGTGCAGCAGCTTCTTCTGCCTGCAAAGCCCGTAAAGAACCGGTTAATTTACAGTTCTGAATTATAAATAACTGTAAATTGTGAATTTACAGTCACGAAACAAAATCGAAAAACAGGACAGGAAACTATCTAAAACTTTTGCCATCTAATTTAGCATCTAAAATTACCTCTTTCTTCACTGGCGCTTCCTTCTCAGAAAGGATCAGCTCAATGTGGCAAGGAGAGGACATGTAAGCTGCAACACCCAATGGGCAACACCATCAATTTGTGACAACACGGGATTCACGTACGTGCCAAACATTACACAGGTTCCATAACGAATTACAACACAACAGTAGGAATGGAGTAGCCACTTACGGTTGATACGTCCGTGGGCACGGTAAGTACGTCTGCGCTGCTTCTGCGCCTGGTTAACTTGAATGTGAGAGACTACGAGAGTGTCTACATCAAGACCCTTCACCTACAAACGTCAGAGCATCACAATTAATCGCTAGATCAGTGCCTAAATCCCAAGCGGAAAGTGAGAATTTTACACATACAACTCTGAGCATGTGAGTTTTCCAGATGACCCAGAAATTGGCATTCAGGCGTACCTCTGCGTTGCTCTCGGCATTCTTCAGCAAACCAAGCAAGAAGGTAGCAGACTTCACGGGCCAACGCCCCTGTCCGTTGGAGTGGCGTGCCTTAGCCTGAGCAGTACGCCCAACGCCACCACAAAACCTGCGGAAGGGAATAGCTTGCTTGTGGGCACACACATCCTCAAGATACCGCTTGGCCTTCGCCAACTCCATATGCTTTATGGCTTGCGCTGCCTCCCTAGTGTTCTGCACCACCGTGGTAAATCCGACATAAGCTCCTTCCCACATGCAAAATACGCATAATTACAACCACGACTAATGCTCGAACTACGGATAAACTTTTTCCGGTTAAAGGACAGAAGATCCATTTCCCTATGCATTTGATTCTGAGATAGAGGTTGGTACCTTGAAGTGCACTCGCAAATCCGACCCTCTGGCCTTGCAGGCTGCGTTTGCATCGAACGAAATAAAATCAAAAGCAGTGGATACAATACCAGGCACAGATCGAGGAAAAATTTAAAAAAAAAAAAAAAAAAAAAAGAAGAAGTACATGTGAATCACCAGAAAGACCTACCCTTGGTCGAATTATCCGGATCCCTCGCATACTTAACCTGATAGAACAAAACCACAAAACCAACACACTAAACCAATCAAAAACCCACAGAAGCCTCGACCACAAACCTCCTGACAGTCTCCCGCGACACCTCACAACCACCTAAACCCTAATTAGGGTCAAGACCTCAGACACGAACCTTGACCATCCAGGCAGTAGAGAATGAAGAGGTGGGTATCGAAGGAAACAAAATGATGATCTGCAAGGTGGGGGAGGGAGCATAATTTTTGGGTTCTCGGGGAATCGGGAGAGGAAATTACGCACCATTGTTGACGAGGGGGAAAGGGGGAGCAGCGCCTGGTCACGGCGAGGAGGATTGCGAAGCAAAAAGAAGTCACTCCTCGTTGGTCTGCACATTCATACCCCAGTTCTCGAATTTAGGGTTTCCTCCTCGCTCTAGGGTTTCACACCCCCCACCGCGCTCATAGGGTCTCCGGGTTTGGGATTAAAAGAGCCTGATTCCGTCCCTCGTTGCAGCATTGAACTGTGGCATTGATTCTGGGTGATATCTCACTGTTTATTACAAAGTAATGTACGTGAAAGTTTAAATGTTGTATGATGTTTGTGATATACTATCAAATTACGCAATTAAAAAAAAATGAGAGTCTGATCTAACCATTTAAAAATAAAATAAAATAACTTGTTATGTGAATTTGATGCATAGTGCATTTGATTCTCTTTTTCTAAAAAGATAAGTTTATAAAAACTAAATGATTAAGAAGTGAGAGATATGAATGCAGATATCTTTTTACAAAAGATATGAAAAATAACAGAACTCAATAACACGGATAGAAACATATGTTATACCAATAGAAGTCTACAAATAATTTGAAATATTTTCTTTGAATGTGTTGATAAGAAAATTTAGGCACTGAAGGTAATAATAATTTAGAAAAAATAAATAACTTTAAAAAATACATTAAGGAAATATGCAACAACATCATGATTTTTTTACAAAAGAACGTTTCAAACCTATCTTTCTAACTTAGAACATTTGGAGGTTATCATAATCACCAATTTTTAAAAATCAACTATTACTTAACACATCATTGATTCCAATATGTGATTATTTTTTTATTCTGTAGTTAATAACTAATTTTAATATTTTTAAACATAAAGTTTTTGCAAGTGTAATCAAGTGATTATGAAATGATTTACAATCACTCAAGTGTTATCATCTACATTCAATGCAACATTCTCCAGAGTTATTATAATTTTAGAAAAAATATATGGTTGTTGTTTATGTGCATGGTTTCATTTTTAATTATAAAATATAATATAATATTAATACATACCACATGTTACGAACCTTTTTAGTTAATAAGTTTATACTTTGCTACTAAACAGTCTTTACAAACTATTGATTAATTAAAACTAACAAGTTCTTTGTATTGATATTTTTACTATTTTTATTCTTATCTATTTTGAATGGTGTATATATATATATATTTTTTCAATATTCAAAGTAAAATTTGATATGTCTTTTTTCTCTTTCTTTTAAAATATTCGTTTTCATAAATTTGAAGTTCTACCAATGGGAGTAGTTTATATTACCAAAGGTATTTTATTAGGCTCTTAACAATGCTGTTCAAAATAAGTATCAACTAATTTTTTAAATTATGAACACTTTTATGAAGTGTAACATTTGTACAAAGAACAAGAACTTTGAAATCTTTATTGAACTAGCGAAGCAAACAAACAGAAAATCAAATACATCAGGAAATTTAATGACCTTATTCCAGCATTGCTGTCATACTGTTTTCAAAATTTGAGTTTTTTACTTTTTACTTTTATGTAAAAAGGCAACAAAAGCCATTCTCAACAGGAAGAAAGATTGTGTTAAAATAAGCATCATTAAAACATATTCCATAAATTTAGACCCCAAGAATCATAGTGATAAAGGATGTGTGCTAAATAAACAAGTAACCAAATAAGACAAAACATAGTCCGTGAAGCAAATGCCAACCTAATGTTTGACCTAAAAAGGAATCGACTCCACACTCTGAAAACATAGATTACTGACATAAGCATTTTCATCAACTGTTTTTTTGGGAAGAAAGCTTTAATTAAATCCGCATGGATGTATGTATGCACACTAGAATTTGTACCGAAACTGAATCAATGTGTATTCAATGTATTATTCTCAAAAAGTTGTTCTAAGAGAAATAAAAAAAGGTGCAGCACCCACAAAAGCCTCGAAAGCTCTCAGTTTTGTAATTACAAGCTAAGGTAAGATCCTACGCGCCTTCACAAACTGACTAAATTAAAAAAATAAAAAAATTATAACGCAACTTTAACTGCGTAGGGACGAACTCAAACCCTAATAAAAACCAGCAAAAATAATAACAATGGGGCCTCATGTTGCCACGCCGTAGCTGCTGCGGCGATGGATTGTGTGCACAGCAGGTGGTGCAAAATAATGCTCAGTCTCTTGTTGCCGCAACTGGATTCCCTCACTTCGGAGCTCAGAGGATAGACCCCAGATCTGGCAGATCGATGTCTAGAATCGGGTACCGAGCTGGGATGTGATGCTTTGCAGGAATGTGTTGCCGGAGCCTGCAAGTCGCCGTCTGCGAAGCCGCTCGGCGATGATGAAGGAGAGCTCTAGTGCTTGGGAAGCGTTCAGGCGTGGGTCGCAGTGCGTGTGGTAGCGCGAGCTCAGGTCGTCGTAGGTTAAGTTGTTCCCTCCGCCGACGCATTCCGTTACGTCTTGTCCTGTCATCTCTAGGTGGACCCCGCCGGCGTGGGTTCCTTCTTGTTCGTGGACGTCGAAGAATGCCTTTACTTCATCCTGATCAGTTCGCAGCATAGACGGTGTGAGGATTTGCGCATCATCGTGGGATGTGGCACAGATGGATTTGGACAAGTTGTGGAATAGGGAAGGGTTGTAGAGTGAAGCTGGGAACTTACCAGAATTGCGTCGAATGGGCGGGTTTTCAACCCCGAGGGCGCTTTGACAGTGTTCCCGTGCATCGGGTCGATCACCCAGGTGACGATGCATCCAGCTTGGCGAATCGCGCGCACAAGTGCTGGGAATTTCTCCCTGAGCTTGGTCGCGCCCATGCGCACGATCACTGTGAGCCTGCCGGGCTTGTTCTCGGGGTTCAGGATGTTGCAAAGCGTTACGAGGTCTTCAGGTTTCATTTTGTCGCTGACTTTGACACCTAAGGGGTTAGCAACGCCACGCAGAAACTCGATGTGGGCGCCGTCTAGCTGACGGGTTCGCTCACCAATCCAAAGCATATGCGCGGAGCAGTCGTACCATAGCCCAGAGGTTGAATCTTCTCGCGTCAGCGCTTGCTCGTAAGGTAGCAAGAGACACTCGTGCGAGGTCCAAAACTGGGTGGATGTCATGACGGGGTGATCAAGCGTAAGGCCGCAGGCGGCCATGAAGCCGAGAGCTTCATCCACGCGGTGCGCGAGCTCCCGGTACCAGTCGCCCTGCTCGCTGTCGGCTGCAAAATCGAGGTTCCAATGTGTGACGCGCTGCATGGCTGCGAACCCTCCTGTGGCAAAGGCTCTCAACAGGTTGAGTGTCGCGGCTGCCTGGCTGTATGCTCTTACCATGCGATCTGGGTCAGGAATGCGGGCCTCCAGCGTAGGCAGATCCGCGTTGATGTTGTCTCCTCTGTAACTAGGCAGCTCCACTCCATTCACATTTTCTGTGTCTGCGGACCGAGGTTTGGCGAACTGGCCCGCCATTCTGCCCACCTTCACAACTGGCATCTGTCCGCCGAACATGAGTACGGCGCCCATTTGCAAGAGCACCCGGAATGTGTCTCTAATGTTGTTCGCGTTGAATTCCTTGAAACTCTCGGCGCAGTCTCCACCTTGAAGGAGGAAAGCGTTGCCGAGTGCTGCTTCTCCGAGGCGTTCTTCTAAGCTGCGAGCCTCGCCGGCGAAAACGAGCGGGGGATAGTCCCTAAGGACCTTCTCCACTTCTGCAAGCTTCTCAGCGTCGGGATAATTCGGTTGCTGCAACGCCACCTTGTTCCTCCAGCTGGTTGGCGTCCAGCCCTTGGTTCCTGGCAATTCTTCTGCGAAAACAGAATTACACCAATCTGGTTTAATGGCCGCGACATAGATATCACTAGATGAGAGAGACTCACGCAACCACAAGTACATGAATAAGGGTGGTAAGAGGAAATTGCCCTCGGAGTAAGGCATACCTTTGGTTACATTCGCCTTCAGTGACTCCACAGCCTGCACAGCCTTGGCGATGCTGGCGTTAATGCCCCCGTTGGTGAGTGTGGCGCCGATATGCTTGTTCCTTTTCAATGAGGGGGTTTTGTTGGTGCCACTGTGAATGGAAGAGAGAGACTCCACCCTCGGAGTGACGAGAGATCGGCTGACGAGAGCCATGGCGAACGATGTCTGGGGGAGAGTAAAATCGATTTGAGCTGCGACCTGCACAATTACAATTGAATTCTCTTTGAGACACAATACACTCAACCCGATCACGGAAATGAGGACTTTCACAACAGCTCTCTCATCAGAATTGCGTTGCGTGAAACTGTACATGAACACGAACAATTTAACATCCAGGTTATCTACAGCGCAAAATCGATTGTGAAGCCCAACGGCTGCATCACAATTAATCATTTGGGCACTCTCAAAGAATTAGTTCCTTGAAACTAAACGGTTTCAAATCCACGGCAACTTATATTCAAGATCATGTGTGTGTGTGTGTGTACACATTTAAGATCGGAAAACCGGATTGTTAAACACTGTCAAGTACGAAAGAGAGGCCTCGATATTTCTCAAAAGACGCCAGAAATAGAACAAGATGAATACTGTATGGTTACAGACGTCACTTGTATGGAGTACATGAACAACATTTGGGGTCCACCCCACGGGCTGAAAAGGGACTGAGAATGCACAAATGTTCTACCAAAGGCGAAGGTAGACGGACGAATTGATTCTTTTTTTTAAAAAAAAAACAGCCTCTCGGATGACTTAGAATTTTGTCTAATAATTTCCGGCAATCGAAGTGCTTACTGAACCACGAATCTATGTTTCCACTATTGAACAGGTAGAATTATTCACTGGGTTTATCTGATTGCCATGCATTGTAATAATCCAAAGGCTTATCTCTCTACCTCTCTCATCTATCAGAGATCAATCCAATGGGCAATGCGGTTACGAAACGAACATTATCTGCGCTTCCCAGCGTCGATCGTTACAGTTACACCCTTAAAAACACTCAATCTTACTTCACAAAAGAGATGATAATAAAAAATAAAAAAAATACCAACAAATTCTAGCGGTAAGTATCCAGACGCCTCGCGTTTTCAACTGTTACTCGTTGCGATGCAAAGATATCGAAACACCTCCTCTGTCTACCTATCAAAGATACAAACCTTCTCAATCTCCAATGAACACGAACAAACATTGAACCACCCAAGTGGATCGTTTCGTGATAGCGCAGCCTCTGCACCGAGCCCTTAGTCGAGCCTTGTTCCAATCAGTCAGCTCAGTCGTTTCCACCACCTCAGACGCAATCGAGAACTTAAATCCTACCAGCTTCACAAGACCATCCAATTCCTCGGACTGCAGCAGACAATGCACAGCACTACAAGACCCCAAAAGATTGCCACATTTCCCATACCACAATCGACATGGGGCGTGATAGTTACCTCACGCGATGACTGCAGGTCCACAACCAGAGACTGCCCTACAAAACCACTGCCTGCTCAAATATCTTCCACCTTAATCACGACTGAAGGCCCTTAGCACGCAGCGTCTCGGGACAGAAACGGGAAGCTACAGACCCTGAAGCTCCGAATGCTTTTCTCGTGTGGGATCATTCAGACACAAACCCGTGGGTTGCTAATAAAACACCCATTCAACGCAGAGAAAGCAAAAAGGATATCTTTCTGGCACCCACGTTTCACTAGGAAGGTTTTAGGGCACGCGCTCCGGTGAATACTTCGTCAACGTCCATACCTTTATTTTACCAGCCCACCGGAACTGCAGTCATTCTAGTGAGCTTTCTGCGAAACTCTTTCAGGACTCTCTCTCAAAGCTAGCGGTACACACACGACTCATGCTACGTTTTCGTGAGTTTTCATCCACTGCTCCTCGCTTCCGCGTCGGTCAATAACCCGGTAACAGCAGCCAGCGAAGGTGGGGGGCGGGGGGAATAACATAGACAAACTCAAAACCTTGCGGTGAAATTAATGGGCTGATTCACAGCCTCGAAGGCATGGGTGGGTGAGGCGTTCATGAGCCGAATCATGAGTGAGAGATCATCCGACAAGCACCATCTTTTGCAATCAATGCCCAGGCCCTCACATGAATGCCATGCCCGGGCTTCGGCTACACTTAAACCAGTGCTTTTTACCGGTAAAAGCAGTGTCCAGACTGAAGCATACGCACACGGACCTGCCTTACAACGTGGCGTCGCGCCGCTGCCCCACTCACCGAGGCACCCTGTGCACGCCCTCCCCACGAACGCCTTGCCCGAATCATGGCAACACTCACGAGCAACCTCCTGCGTCCGAGATTCAACGCGCTCTCACTCACTCACCCACCGCTACCTTGACATACTCTCCTCCCTCCACTACCACCGCAAGAGCACCGCCACTATGTAGCTAAGTTCGATTCCTCTTGACGATGCTGATCATTTCAGCTTCAAGTGGATCGAACTCCCGTGCTCTCTCTCTCTCTCTCTCTCTCTCCCAATGTCGTCGACCGTCTGTTGCCTTTGGTGGTGTTGTGTGTGCATGTTTGGTCATGCTAGCTTTGTATTTGGCAACATCTCTTTCAAGTTGTGTGTTTGTGAAGCGTGTGCCAGTCTCATGAAGTTGGTATCATGCAAATGAGTTGGGTGGGACTCAGCAAAGCTCGACTGACAAACAGGTAGAATGTTCATGAATCCCGCACTGTTTGTTGATGTCCAAGTGATTAAAACTAGCTTTTGTGTATGAAGAGGGTAATTTATTTGGAGGAAGGAGAGGCGAATTTGGACTTGTTCATGGCCTACTAACTAGTCAGTTCATCATAAATATGTGGTTGGCGCTTCTTCGTTTGTTTCCAGAATTCTGACTGCCACTGAAGGATTTTGTGTAATGAATGGTAGGACACCTGGTTGGACTTTATGCGAAGCAATGTGACTGAAACTAAATTCTTATTTGTTGAGAGTAGAGGACCCACATGATTGGGTTCTCTAGAGGATTAAAAGCAACATTGTGTTGCCTTTGTCTGGAATTAATGGGAAGCACTTGTACAGCATTGTCTGGAGGAATATGTTGGATGGTTCAACTTTACTCAAACTGGAACTAATAAAGTGTGCGATTTTATGCTTTCACTAGTTTCACCTTTTGTTTCATTGTTTTGTTTTCAGGTTTTCTTTCAAGTTAAGAGATATATTTTGAAACACCAAAGAAGGAAATATGCAGATCTGTTTGTGTACAAAGTGAATCTAATGTGGTTTAGCAATCAAAATAGAATAAAATAAAATAAAACATTACAATATACTATTATTGTTGTATACTTGGCAATAAAAATTGTGTGCATGTAAAAGCATTAATATTAAAATTTTATTTAAAATCTGTCGTTGACGAGAAAATACTGTAAGTCTTTTTTCATAAAAAATAGAAAAAAATACCAATGGTAAGTCATTTAGTGAGAATATCATCAAAAAAAGAAATGTTCAAATTTATGTTCACAACAAATACATTAAATGTAATCCACTCTATGCAAGGAATTTTTATTTTACACTTGCATCTAAATGTTGAAGTTTGGGTAAAAAGATTACATATATATAATCAATTTTGTAACATTTCTATTTAAGCATTTTTATCTCAATAATAAGAAATTATCAATACAAAAAAGAGAGAGAATCAAAGTATGCAACATACAATTTCATATTATCCCAAAGAATTTAAGAAACTAACATATTCAATGAAATTGACTTGTAAATATTACACTCACATTTGTCTATTTTTTTTTAAAATTAAGTATTATCATTGTATAATAGTATTATGAATTTTAAAAATAATTTTCAGAAAAATGTAGTATATTATTCCTAAAATATTACAAAAAGATAATTAGGATATTACACATATAGAAATTATTGGACAACATTCTAAATGTGTGTAAAAGATTAAATACAAATCGATTTGTTTTTATTTATTTATTTTTAAATTAAAAATTTATTATACATGAAATAGACAAAGAGTTTTACCAAATAGAAAGCTAAAATCATTTCACAAATAACTTGAATTAGTGAAAATTCAAAGTGAATAAAGCATGGTCTTTTACAAGAATACCAAGTGGCACAAACAACAAACAAGTATATATATACATATATATATATATATATATATATATATATATATGCCATGAAAAAAACATTGTAGAAGAAAGAAAATATAACTTGGCATCCAAAATTCATGTGTCATTTCAACATTTGGTAATGGTTCCACCTATGAATTGATTACTAATATTTTAGGTTTTTAAAAATACAATCAAGAAAGTCAATAAACATTGGTAATGCATGGCATCATATGATATAAGAATAAAAGAATGAGAAGAAAAAATGGAGATGTAGAGAATTCATGATGAAGTTTTGTATGAAAAATTATATAGAAAAACAACCAGCAATGTATGTGAATTTAGAGCATTTCCACATGTTGGTGCCAATAAGAACAATTGAGGGATAGATGCCATGGCAATCTTGATGCAATTCCCACCTACTTGGCATGGTGTCAAGGACAAGAATTCAAAGAAGGTATGTAAATGAATAAAAAAGAAATAAAAAAGAACTAAAAAATAGATATAAGAAAATAAATACATTTAATAAGAAATTGGAATGGCTATTAACAAAGACTAGGAAACTAAAGACTCTTAAAACTAGTCTAGAAGCAAGAAAGAAGTTGGCAAGAATAAAGAAAACTTTATTCTTGCTTCTATATATACTATCTACCTAAGAGCTATATGGCGATGTTTTATAAGATCTTTAATATGTATCCAATTTGTAAGACATGTATCTAACTTATAAGACAAGTTTCTTATATGTGCGCCAAATAGTTAGCTTGTTCTATAAGCTACTAACACATGACATGTAGCTAACTTGTTGGCCAATTGATTTACATATCAATTACTTATAAATATGGATAAAGCTGAAAATGCATTTATGAAGTTTTTAGAAAGCATTTCTATAAGCTATTATTAAATCAATTTATTTTTACTTATTTATAATTATTGATATTACCTAAATAACTATTAGAATGAATATATTAGTGTTATTGCCCCTCTTTTTAGGGATGAGTTCTATGGAGAGTAGTGATTACATATCGACAAAGTTCAAGATGTGAAAAATTATATTTAATGTATATTTTGATTGTTGTTTCTTTCAAAGATAGTTGATAGGTTTTTTGAGCTATCAATAACATCTCATTCCAAGACAAAAAAATCACCTACTTATTTAAACATTGTTGAGGCCTTTATAACTTCCTTCAAACAAAATATTAGTTATAATATATTTTGATGCCGAATTCAATCTAAGGTTTCTTCCATCTCAAACTCTTTATAATTATCCACTTCTATATAAGGCATTGATATTTTTCTTCTTTTTAAAATATTTATTATCTTATACAGCTTAACAAGAGCCATGTGAAATATAAGATGGATTTTCGTTAATTTTGATAGATATAATTAATAAGTAACTAGATTGTTTTGTTCACAAATAAGAAAATATCTAAGCCTTTAATAATCCAACTTATTACAAAGACAAATAATCTTGATATTGCAATGAAATAATCATACTTTATCATCTACATTGAATTATAATTTTTCCTTATAATAGGCATTCATGTTGATCTTTTTTTTGTTCTTGAACTTTCTTTAATTGTACCTTTATTATTAAATGTGCCTTGATGTTTAAAAAGTCAAAAGTATCCAATCATGGATAATAACTATAATTAACAAAAAAGTATTTATTAAATAAAAGTATATATCAAATTATTATACATAAATTCTATTAATGGCAAAAGAGTTGTCTAATTTTATTAATGATAGTTGATGGTATATTTCAATTATTACTTCAAAACTTAATTTACTTGTATAGTTTGTCTTATAGTTTGAAGATAAAAAACTATAGACAATTATATATTCATCTTTAATATTTAAAAAAAGATTTTTAAAAAAATTAATATAATTAAAAAAAAATTAATATAATTTTTTTTCCTTTTATTTAATATAATATCATTTGATAATCTATCATAGCAATAAATTTTATCAAAGAAAAGCTTAGCTATTTCTTCACCTCAAATAGTTTTTGTATATAATACAAAATATATCATTTTGGTGAAACAATTCATAATCACAAATATAGAGATATTTGAACTTGAATTTAGAAGATTTATTGTTGTATGGTAATATGAATATATAATAAAAAATAAAAATATGGATTTTATTATAGAAGAGTTTAATAAAATGATGTAGTAGAAATATAAGGATAAATAATAGAAAGGTAGTAAAAAATTTAGTCTTAATATTACCTTTTATAGAAAGGATTTCTATTTACTTTGTAGAGGCATAAATGAGCCAAATCAAAGTATATGAGATAAGAAATTAATATAGGAATATTTAAGAAAGAATTAACAATAGATTATAGCAAAAATTACCTCAAATTATTAAAAATTGATATTTAAGAAAAATTAGTTGTCAACTTGGATCAAAATCAAATCTTAAAACACAAAACCATGCACCAACAATGATTCTAGGATTCTTTTATAAAGCAAAGAATGGATTCTAAGAGCAAATAGGAGGAGAGATTTTTGAATATTAGTTTCATGTCATAAAAAATCAATATTAAAATTTTGAAGGATTTTCAAAGTTAATAATGTATTTAGTCTATTTAGATTTTGAGAAACAAAAGTAAGTTTACAAATTTCAATATTTTTTAAGTTTTATAGCATATTTATAAGTAAAAATTATATAATTTATTGTTGTACTTTTTAAAAATATATATAAAAATTTTGAGATCAATCGAGTAGTTAAATTGAAGCATATGAGGATTTTTGTGGATTATGGTCTCAAAAATTAGGATTTAGAGGACTCGTGAGGATTTCTAAGATATCTATCAATCTGCTAGTTGAATTGAAATACAACTATTTTATTCAAAGATCGTTAGCTTGATTTTTAAAAATTATGTAAATTTTAAAACATATTAAATAATAAAATTAAGAGATTGTGGCTTGAAAATATCAAAATGAAGGTTAGAAAAGAAGGCCAACTAATTCCCAAGAGGAGTTTTGGAATTATCGTCTATTAGATATGTGCGATCTTCAAATTTTTTGTGCTTGTTGCAAATTTAGTTGCTGCAAGGTATACAAATTTTGAGTCAAAATCAATAATTCAATCATTAATTATTAAATTTTTAATTTTCTATAAGATTTATTAAAATTTCATTTAATATTTAGGATTTCATTATTGATTGATTAGAACTTAGAATTTTGTTTGGATTTGATTAGGATTTGATTAGAATTTGGTTATGGTTTGTTTAGGATTTGATTAAGATTTGATCGGGATTTCATTGGCATTTAGCCTAAGATTTTGTGAAAGATCATTTGGATTTTAATTAAAATTAAATTAATATTTTATTAGAATTTATTTAGATTTTTTTAGAATTTCTATTTTTAATATTTAAAAGATATATTTATATATATTTAATTTTTTTTCTAATATTTCTATAATATTTTATTTATTTATTTAAAGGCTTATTTTTATATATTTTTAAGATTATTTTTTATTAAAAAAAATTAATTTATGACTTCATTGTATTTTTTTTTAACTTCTTTTAAATTTATTTTAGATTGGCATAAATTTTATTAGGATTACTAAAAATTACTTAAAGTTTATTTAAGACTCTATTGGACTTGGTAGGATTGTTGTTGTATTTATACTTATCTTCCACATCTAGATGCCTAATGCATTCTCAAGTAAGAACAGACGTAATACAACACCATAATAGCATCTATAGAAATAGAAGATCATGATTGTTTTAATATAAGCAATAGTTGGAGAAGTCCAAAAAATCAATGATGAGGAGTTTTTTTTATCTTGAATGATGTTGCATTTTTGTACAAAGTATTTTAGAACCTTCCACATTTGAGGCCACCAAAAATCTCTAGATATTAGCTAAAAGTCTTATTATATTCAAAATATCTTGCTACTGGAAAGTTATGACAAGCTTGAAGAACATCTAAACATACTACTTCTTTTAGAACATATAGACAACCTTTGAAATAAAGTAGATTATTCTTGAATTCAAACTTGGAAGTATTATGAGACTTATAAGAAGTTTGC